TTCTACGCTTCACTTCCCTTTTTAGCCGCTTCGATTTACATTTGCATTTCGGGGGAGGGAAGAAAATTTTTGTTGGCAAACATTTCATTTAAAATTCTCCTTTCCATCAAGCCGGTTGGGTGTGTTCGTTTCCTTTTCCGCCTAGCTTCGCTTATCGCCTGATTTACGATTTTCTTGTGGCTTTTGTGAATCCGTTAATCTGTATTCTTTGAATCTTTTTGTTTATCTTTGAAATAACGAGTGATCACTCGTTATATCCAGGAAGTAACGAATAGTTGCTTGTTATAGCTACGAATTTAGTTTTTTTTTTCAAATCTTGGGGTAGGCTACTTTCCGCTATTTTATTTGCGCAAAGGGTCATTTGCGCAACTTTAACACGGTAGCAAGCACTAGAGTTTTCGTCATTATTCTAATAGTTTGAGCTTTTTTTTATTTCCTTCGATTTGCTACGACATCTTCCAACTTTTTACGCAATCTTCCAAAATTTATCTAAATTACCGTAAATCCTCTAATAGAGCCCCATGGCATAGGAGCGTCTCGTAGTCTAACTTTTGTTCAGACTCTAAGTGGCCAAAATGGTGTTTCTTGGGACCCAGTGGAGCTAAAAAATTGGCAGACCACTCATTTTAAAGCTCTCAAAGAGAAACGACACAATATTGAAGCGCAAAACAAAAAACGCAAAATTACGCCAGCCACAGGCAACAGTACGCGACGCTCCTATGCCATGGGGCTCTATTAGAGGATTTACGTAGTCCTTTCTTGGAGCTAATGATTATTAGTAAAATACTTTATTGCTTTAACAAAAAAAGTGCAACCAATAACAATGAAATTTCGGATAACAATCAAACATCCTTAATATAAGCCAAAAGCTAAGAAAGATGTTGCACATAATCGCAACCATTAGAAATAGCAATAAAACTTTACTTTTGTCGAGCCAATACAGTTTTCTGTGCGTATTTTTGTCCAACAGTGATATTGATAGCCGATGAAAGGTTAAAATCCCTTAAAACTGTACGTCAATAGGAATCTAACTTCTTATTAACGGCAAAAAGTTGCGCAAATGACCCTTTGCCCAAGTAAAATGGCGGAAAGTAGCCTACCCCCAAATCTTGCTTCACGATCATTAATTGCTAATTTAGAACGAAAATGGCAGAAACGAAGACGGCATTGTCTGAATCCGGCCGAATTCTTCAATTTACGCTCAAGGACGAACAGGCGACCTATTTGAACGTCAACCAAAATCGAATCGAACTCCATTTCAAGGACGAGATTTTTACCTTTAAACATAACAAGAATGGTCATCATTACGAGGCAACGACGCCTGCAAAAAACAAACGCGTTTTGACTGTCCCTGGTCTTCGCTTTATGGTAAAGATTTGTTTATAAATAAAAAAAGCGGCAGGGAATTTTGTTGATTTTGTTGCGAAACCTCAATCCCACGCAATCCTGGTTAAAATTTCTAACTTTTGTCATTTAGGGTAGATCTGGTCGTTCGGGCGAAACCGTCGATTTGGTGCTGGTTACTAGCAACATCGACATCGAGTTCAAATGCCTGCAAGCGCTCAGAAACAACGCAGCATACACCCAGAACTGATGACAAGCGCTTTTCGAGTCAAGGGCCCCGACACGACATCCTTGAAGCTTAAATAAATGTGCCCTCGAGGCTAAAATAATTTTTTCTGCGGTCTTTTTTGTAGGTCAATAAAATGTTGTATTTGATGGTATATGGCTTTGAGATTTATATTTTTATTTGGTCAGATCAGTAAAATAACGAGTGATCACTGAGTGATATAGTAGTTACTACCAGGGCTGGTACTCTTTGGCGAATTACTAGAGCGAAGTTACAACCCTTGTACTTTGCAGTTACCGGGGTAGTACTTCAAAGTTACTAGGGCGATTTTTCGAGTTACCAGGGCGGTTTTTTTTGCGTTACTGGGCGGTACTGAATGCACTTTTTGCCTTTTTGATTTTTGTGTTTATTCCAACAGATATTGAGTGCAAATGAATAACAAAAAACAAAAAAAATCTATCTATCTATTAAAAGCTTATAAATTTTCTTTTTTTTTTCGATAAATGCACCCTCCATTTAATGATTTTCAATGGCGTTGACTTGCGGGACAACATCGGGTTCACAACGAAGATAGCCAAGGTGCTAAAAAACGAAATAAAACTAGTTAAAATATATAGACTTATCGCGAGGATAAAATCGACTTTTGCTTTAATACGATCAAGTTGTTCCTGGTAGCTGGTGGCTTCTGTAATCATTGCCGGTGGAGCCGAATCACTGATTGATGCAGTCGTCGAGGTAACACTGCTCTCTTCTTACTAGTCTTACTTAGTTACTACCCATGTAACTTCTGCAAAAGTTACTAGGGTGAGTTAAAATTTTTTCATGTAACTCGAGTTACTAGGGCTGTAACTTTTTCCGATGCGTTTTTCTTAACGTTCTTGTTTTTGGTTGCCTTTAACCACATGATTTATTAAATCTCCATTAGTTTATCTATCTTTTTAAAAAAATAGAAGAAGAAACTGTCGAAAACGGCGCGTAAATCATGCGTCTGAAGTTTTGGCCGAGTTACTAGAGCGGCGAAAAGCTGAAAACTACCCGCCCGGGTGTTTTGAAAGTACCGCCCCTGTAGCTTTGAAATACAACCCATGTAACTCAAAAAACTAGTACTTTGAAGTTACAAGGGTTGTATTTTGCCAAGGATTACCAGCCCAGGTCAAGCATCTTTTTTTTGGCATATGACACCTGTTAAAAGGATTTTGGATGTCACTATTTTAAGTGTAACGAGTGATGATGGCACCACACACTCTGGTACCGACGAGTTTCCTTGTGTGGATTTATAACGTGCTCGGCTAGGGTTGTCAAAATGCTTAAAAATGTCACGGTTCTTCTATTCTATGTAAAATTACGCCTAGATTTTATGAATGGTTTTTGTTTTTCAACTTAGGTTAACGTATTGTCTGAGAAAAGCTAAAAGATCCATTAAGTGCGACACTATACAGGTTGTTGAGCACGAAAAGAGCGCATCTATAGCTGACAAGTTTGGATACAAGTTCTACGAAAGTTTGGGACCCACGGCTCAAAGTTGAATTTTTTCTTAGTTTCGCTTGTCCCATCTCATCTTCTTATTGACTTTTAGATTGATAGTTGTTTCAATCCTAAATTTCAATGAGCGAGCTTTTACTGAGTCTGACTAGATTTTATCAAAAGCATCAAATCGATAAGAATCAGCACCTCTTTTACTCGATATCCGTATTTATAACCATAATCACAAGAACAAGAAAAAAATAACAATGCCACAATAATAGATTAGCAGATTGCGGACGGTCGTCTAGCGTCATTAGCCCGTGAGGTAGATAGCCTAAATTTTTGAATCGACTTTCAACGACGTGAGAAAGATTGATTTTATTCTTAACAACAAACCGAAACTGACGAAAATCGACTTCACGTGTGAGAAGCATTCTCTTTGGTGACATCAATCAATGCCGAGATCAATTCCCTTGCCGCCTTTTTAGCCTCCTAAAACCTTGTGAAGATATTTCTACAGCTGCATGCCAACTAGACATGGGCATTTTGAAAAAATCAACTCAAGTTGAGTCGCGAGCCGAGTCGCATCTAATGCCAACCTCTTCCGAATCTGGATCATCTCCCAATTTCGAAGCCCACATAAGCCACGATTCGAAAACCGATGAATACTCCTAAAAGATTAAAGCATTAAAATGTAGAAGAGAGATCTTACCTGAATGAAATTATCTCTTGGCAATACTTTGGCAATCGTCGTTCGTGCCACCAACGCTGCCAAACACAAGCATGGTTCTTGTCTCGTTGCGAAGGAGTCCACCACCGCAGAAAGCTGGCTGAATTAAAAAAAAACTGATTGTATACACAAGAAAAATACTCACTTGCAAACTCGAGGCATCGACATCGAGCCGGGGCCCAATTGCATGATCGGCTTTTCTTTAACTTTTGTCTTCGTAGAAAGTGAAATGGCTGCGGTATGTATGCATTCTAGTAGCTCGTACCTAGAATAAAGTGTCATTTGATAGATAAATTTACATTGTTACCTCGCCGTCATTGTTCCTTCCTGCGAAAATATATAGTCAGCAGCTTTGAAAGCAAATTCAGGATAGAGCACGATCAACTCCGAAATGTATTTTAACCGAAGCTCCTAAAGTTCATACGTTTCTTACAATGTTGAAGAAACCAACGTTAAACGCAGGATATGAGAATTTATCCTGAAGAAAGATGACTTTTCGTAATAAATTTATCTCGATCGTATCAAGCCCACAATGATCATGAATACGATAGAAGCCTGAATTATGTTTTTTAAAAATCGATACACTCTCGAAGATAAGACGGCGGCGGATGTTTCGATTTAAGGTCTTGGTTCAACTGCAAATACAAAAATTCATCATCGGATCGGCTTGAAAATACCTGGCTACTGAGTTAATCCTCTTTGGGAGTTTGATAGGCAGCAAAATCCAAATCATCATCACTATCTAAGGCCGTCGCTTCGATGATTACTTTGGCTTGTTGAACATCATACAGCTTTGATTCTTTCGCCTCCGCATTAGTCTTAAATTTGTAAAATAGGTAGCTACGTATAACCAAAGTCTAAACCTTTCTTCAAAAAATCATCACGTAGTTCATCTCGAAGTTTCTCAATTTCGGGATCTTTCAGAAGTTCGTTTTCTGGCTCGCCCATCCATTTTCTGCTTTCCTCTAACATCAGAATTCCCAAGTTCATGATCTCCTTTTCGGGTCGCTTCATGTAACGGTCGATTTGGATATTGGATCTTTCATTTGGATCCTGTTGTTTTCTTATCCACTATAAAGACTTTATAATTACAGGATAGATCAAACAAACATCTTGAACGGCTTTGACTACACCCTGGGTTTGTTCTCTTGAAGTACATCTATGAAGCTGTGAGATCAAGTCATCCATCCCGTGAAATAACGTTAACGTCAAGACCTTTCTTCGATTGCCTTTACTGCGACGAAGGGCAGCAAAACTAACGTAGGATAAACCTAAAAATAAAGATAAAATATTTGGAGATAAAAGCAATAACGCACCAAAAATGGCCACTTCGACGAAGATGAACGCTCGAACGGTTGTCGAAAGTCGCGAACAAGTCGCCAGCCTGACTTCTTTTGATTTCTTAAGTCTAATTTCTTGTGAATTTGAAAGATAAAACGGGTAGGTCAAATTATAAAAAACGTCGATTTTTCCCTATGTATAACTCCGTCCGTTTGCTTCCACAAACTCTGATATGTTAAAATTTTGATTCTAGACCCTAAAATTACCCAGAAAAACAACTTTTCGAATAGAAATTGGTTAATATCAGCTTTTTAGAGTTTTTTTAAAACGCGAAAAAAAGGCGCACAAAAAAAGTCGCATTTATTTCACTCTCAGAAATCGCAGAAATAGTGAATTACAGTCGACTCTTGATTTAACGATAGCCTTGGCCGGTCCCGGCAATCGCTAAGCCGCTTTAGCGATATTCGATTTAACGATAATTCGATTTAACGATAGATTTACCCCGGTCCCTTGACTATCGTTAAATCGAGAGTCGACTGTATATCCAAAATTCTTAATTGAATACTTTCTACTTTGTCAGCAAATTAAAAGATATTCGACTAAGGTCTTGCTACACATTAAAGCAAAAGAGTTGAATAAATATTATTTAAAGGACTTACCTACAATAGAAAATATACTTATTTACTAGGATATTTTCTACCGTAGACAAGTCATTGCCGGGTTCTTAAATGCGCTCATTTGTGAGTATAAAAGACTGAGTGAGGTGACTGAAGCAGTATTCCTTCATTCCCGTCCTTTTCATTCAACATCCTTCCGAGCTCATCCAATTAACACCTTAGATACCCGCGAATCAAAACTTCTTTACCGGTCAACTTGTGAGACTGACTATACGTTTGCCAGTTCTTTCTTTTTCTCACTTTTTGATGAAACTTTGCCAATCTATGAAATTGTTTAGATGGATGAGAATGATGGGATTACGCGGAGAAGTTCACGGAGATCCGCAGTCGACAGCAAGGTAACATTTTTGATGGTTTGCACAAGTTTACTCGATTTCGCATTTGCTTCACTAGATTAGTTTTTGGGGAGCCGTTTAAAATCTAAAAATATTAACATTTGAACTTTTCATTTGTTTATTTTAGCATTCAAAGAATTTCGAGACGTTGAAGGCCATCCAAGAGGCTCGCCGAAGTGGGACTTCTATCAGAAAACATGTGAGTTGCTATCGAAATGTTCGAAAATTTTACCGTTTTTAGCTTGATGGCTCTGAAGTAAATGATGTGTATTATACGGTGGATGAAAACGAGTATGAAGAGCTTTTGAAGAATCGCCCACAAGATAACTTTTGTGAAGATGACGGTAATTGACCTGTTTAGTTCCACAATAAACTTTTTATCTAGATGGAAATGGTTACGTGGATCATGGAGTCGATTTCTTCGACGAGAGCGACGGCGAGGAGGAGAAAGCGCAAGCAAAAAAGAAAGCCAAGAAAGGTTTTTTAAACTTTTAACTTCACAACATCTTTACTTTCTAGAAAAGACGAAGAAGGGGGGAATCACTTCTTTTTTCACTGGTCTCGCAAACACAACTAAGCCGAAAATTGATGAAGTATGATCGCTAGATACATAATTTAGTTAAACTTTTTTTAGTCCAAAGTTAAATTGAACGTTGATGATGATTTGATGGACGTGTTAGCGGACTTTTCAGAAGATCAACCAGTTGAAGGTATTCTTTTTAATTGCTTTAGGAGCAAAAAGTAGTTACAGAAAAACCATTTGTCAGTCGTAATCAATTCAAAAGAGGACGCGAGGCAAGCTTTATTATTTAACATCAGTTACAGCAAGATTCCTTTAGAGCTCGCCACCACTTGCACCAAAACTTGTCGCTACCCGGAATGTACAACTTTCTAATGCGCCGATCCGGCAATCATCGCTCGATTCACCTAAAGTCAAGAAATCTTTTGCACCAGAACCACCGATGAAAAAGGTATATTTTTTAAAATATAAAATTATTTAACGCCTTTCCTAGACCTGTCCTGAATCTATTCCGGATTCACTTCCAATGGATGATGGCGGTTTCGATGATTTTCCTGAGCCTTCTTTTGATGATCAGGTAAATCATCATTTTCTGTAGTTAGGAAAGGTATCCAATGTTTAGGAGTCTACGACTGCCTTACAAGAAGTTGCTACTCAAAAAAACACCGAAAATCAAAAAGATATGTTAGAGTGGCCGGTGGAAGAGGAAACTGAGTAGGGAGTTTTTGTCCTTTTATAAACGCAAAGTTACAGAGCACCCGAAGAACCGATTGAAGTAAATGTGGGAGAAGAAAAATTCTATCAGGTACTCTGGTTTTCGGTTTTATTCTCTATTTTTGTGTGGACTCTTGAAGACAAAGATGCGGAAGGAAACGTCACTCAAACGCCAATTATTCGTTTCTATTGGATTGATGCATTTGAGGATGCAATCAAAAGACCAGGTTAGATTTTGATTTTATGACTTATCAATTTCAATTTACAAATCTAGGCACCGTCTATCTCTTCGGAAAAGTTGAAGTGGCTTCTGGACACTTTGAGAGTTGCTGCATTGTCGTGGAGAATATTTACCGCAAGATTTACTTCATTCCAAGAGAAACGGTTTGTAACTAGCAACTTTCCTTAATATTAGAAGTTTAGAAAATGTTGAAAGACAAGCTAACGGAGATCCCGGTCGCCAAAATGGATGTCTACAATGAAGTGAAAGATTTGCTGAAAGATAAATTCGACATTACAAATTTCAAATGCGCTAGAGAAGTTTGTTTTGTGTCTAGAAAGGTAATTGAATGTTTTTAGTCCAAAAAGCAGTTGATGAATTGCGAGAACGATGGAATGTCCAGTGAAAAGATAGATGTGCTTGAAGTCCATTACAGCGTATGTTTAAATTTTAAGACTTGTATATTTTCCGTTTTTCAGAGCAGTTGTGCGAAAATTCCTGTTGAGACAATCGGAGAAACGTTCCGTTTTGTGGCCAATACAACAGCGACCGCAATGGAACGTCTTCTCATTGAGACCGAAATGAAGGGACCTGGATGGATGAACATTGCACAATTTGGTTAGTTTTTGTTATAAAAACCACCTCATTTTCCATTTAGCTCCCGCGACCGCAAGAGTTTCTCATTGTAAGTACGAGTTTACGGTTGACATGGAACGAATGAAGAACATCGTGTATTTGAAAGATCAATCACAGGTATAAAATCCTTGGCTACGATTAAAAATACATTTTAGCAAGCTCCTCCACTTCGGATGTTGGTGTTGACTGTTTATACAACTCTAAACAAGAATCGGGATAATGAAGTTTGAGGTTTTTTGGTTACATTTTCAATTTTTTTTAGATAAGCATGATCTCGTGTCGCATTACCAACAAGTGTAACATCAATTCGACAAACGTGAATCCTGAACAAATGCAACGTCTATGTTGTAAGACTTTAATAAATTGCGTTAATAATTTTGAGTTGCAGTTTTTGAGTTGCAAATTTGCATGGTTATCAAATAAAAAAACGTACGCGAAAAAGCTTGGAATTTCATTTGGATACACGAAGGGCAGCAAAACTAACGTAGGATAAACAAAAACTGCAACTCAAAATTATTAACGCAATTTATTAAAGCTCCATAACATGTAAGCTTCTTCGAGAAGTCCTCTCAGCTGGCCCTGTGTTCTCAATTCGTGTTTACCGTGATGCAAAGTCGACGATGCAGCATCAGGTGGTCGAACGTCGTTATTAAGAATAGAACTTTTGACCGCATCAAGTAATATTTGTTTTGTTTAGGAAATGAGCGTGCCAGTCACCACAACTGTTCCATCGATGAACTCTGGACCTTCCCTCCACTCTTCACTCTGGACCTTTGCTCTACTCTTCACTCTGACCTTTTCTCACTCTTCCCTGGACCTTCGCTCTACTCTTCACTCCCCCAAAATCATAACTTCACTCTGGACCTTTGCTCTACTCTTCACTATGGACCCTTGCTCCACTCTTTGACCTTTGCCTACTCTTCACTCTGGACCCTGCTCTACTCTTCACTCTGGACTCCGATGGCTTCCAATCTACGTTGGTACTCACCGGAACCTCAGCGAATCTCGACTTCTTCGAGAAGTCCACCAACCCGGCCCCAGGCTCTCAATCAGTGTTTACCGTGATGCAAAGTCGACGATGCGCAAGGTGGTCGAAGCGTTTTTTAAGACTAGAACTTGACCCATCAGTAAATTTTTTTAGAAATAGTTAGTCACCACAACTTCCATCGATGAACTCTGACCTTCCTCTACTCTTCACTCTGGACCTGTCACTCTTCACTCTGGACCCGCTCTCTCTTCACTCTGACCTTCGCCTCTCTTCACTCTGGACCTTGCTCTCTCTTCACCTGCCTAACTTATGATCTCACCTGACCTCCTCTACTCTTCACTCTGACCTTGCTCTACCACTCTGACCTTCAATCTACGTTGGTGATCTCTACCGGCACCTGTAATCTCGACTTCGAGAAGTCCTGCTGGCCCTGTGCTCAATCCGTGCTTACCAGCTCCAAAGTCGACGATGCGCACCAGGTGGTTTCGAACCGTGGTTTTAAGACTAGAACTTTTGACCGCATCAAGCAATATTTGTTTTTTTTAGAAAATGACCGTGCCAGTCACCACAACCGTTCCATCGATGAACTCCCCCTCCTCGCTCTTCACTCTGGACCTTCGCTCTCTCTTCACTCTGACCTTCCTCTACTCTTCACTCCACTACTCTTCACTCTGACCTTCCCTCTACTCTTCACTCTGGACCTTCGCTCTACCCTTCACTCTACGTTGGTCTTCACCGGAACCTCAGCGAATCTCGACCTTCGAGAAGTCCTCCAAGCTAGCCCTGTGCTCTCAATTCGTGTTTACTGTGATGCAAAGTCGACGATGCGCATTAGGTGGTCGAACCTGGTTTTTAAGACTAGAACTTTTGACCGCATCAAGTAATATTTGTTTTGTTTAGGAAATGAGCGTGCTAGTCACCACAACTGTTCCATCGATGAACTCTGGACCTTCCTCTACTCTTCACTCTGACCTTTGCTCTACTCTTCACTCTGGACCTTTGCTCTACTCTTCACTCTGGACCTTTGCTCTACTCTTCACTCGGTCCGTTGGTGATCTTCACCGGAACCTCAGCGAATCTCGACTCTTAGAAGTCCTCTCAAGCTGGCCCTGTGCTCTCAATTCGTGTTTACCATGATGCAAAGTCGACGATGCGCATCAGGTGGTCGAACCGTGGTTTTTAAGACTGAACTTTTGACCGCATCAAGTAATATTTGTTTTGTTTAGAAATGACCGTGCCAGTCACCACAACTGTTCCATCGATGAACTCCGGACCTTCGCTCTGCTCTTCACTCTGGACCTTCGCTCTACTCTTCACTCTGGACCTTCGCTCTACTCTTCACTCTACGTTGGTGATCTTCACCAGAACGTCAGCGGATCTCGACGCTTCGAGAAGTCCACTCAAGCTGGCCCTGTGCTCTCAATTCGTGTTTACCGTGATACAAAGTCGACGATGCGCATCAGGTGGCCGAAACGTGGTTATTAAGAATAGAACTTTTGACCGCATCAAGTAATATTTGTTTTGTTTAGGAAATGACCGTGCCAGTCACCACAACTGTTCCATCGATGAACTCTGGACCTTCGCTCTGCTCTTCACTCTGGACCTTCGCTCTACTCTTCACTCTGGACCTTCGCTCTACTCTTCACTCTGGACCTTCGCTCTACTCTTCACTCTGGACCTTCGCTCTACTCTTCACTCTACGTTGGTGATCTTCACCGGAACGTCAGCGAATCTCGACTCTTCGAGAAGTCCTCTCAAGCTGGCCCTGTGCTCTCAATTCGTGTTTACCGTGATGCAAAGTCGACGATGCGCATCAGGTGGTCGAACCGTGGTTTTTAAGACTAGAACTTTTGACCGCATCAAGTAATATTTGTTTTGTTTAGGAAATGACCGTGCCAGTCACCACAACTGTTCCATCGATGCAACTCTGGACCTTCCGCCCTCACTCTTCACTCTGACCTTCGCTCTACCTTCACTCTACGTTGGTCTTCACCGGAACCTCAGCGAATCTCGACTCTTCGAGAAGTCCTCTCAGCTGGCCCTGTGCTCTCAATTCGTGTTTACCGTGATGCAAAGTCGACGATCGCATCAGGTGGTCAAACCGTGGTTTTAAGACTAGAACTTTGACCGCATCAAGTAATATTTGTTTTGTTTAGGAAATGGGCGTGCCAGTCACCACAACTGTTCCATCGATGAAACTCTTCCCCTCCCTTCCCACTCTGGACCTTCGCTCTACTCTTCACTCTGGACCCTTGCTCTACCTTCACTCTGGACCTTTGCTCTACTCTTCACTCTGACGTTGGTGATCTTCACCCGGAACCTCAGCGAATCTCGACTCTTCGAGAAGTCCACTCAAGCTGGCCCTGTGCTCTCAATTCGTGTTTACCGTGATGCAAAGTCGACGATGCGCATCAGGTGGTCGAACCGTGGTTTTTAAGACTAGAACTTTTGACCGCATCAAGTAATATTTGTTTTGTTTAGGAAATGACCGTGCCAGTCACCACAACTGTTCCATCGATGAACTCTGGACCTTCGCTCTACTCTTCACTCTGGACCTTCGCTCTACTCTTCACTCTGGACCTTCGCTCTACTCTTCACTCTACGTTGGTCTTCACCGGAACCTCAGCGAATCTCGACTCTTCGAGAAGTCCACTCAAGCTGGCCCTGTGCTCTCAATTCGTGTTTACCGTGATGCAAAGTCGACGATGCGCATCAGGTGGTCGAACCGGGGGTTTTTAAGAATAGAACTTTTGACCGCATCAAGTAATATTTGTTTTGTTTAGGAAATGACCGTGCCAGTCACCACAACTGTTCCATCGATGAACTCTGGACCTTCGCTCTACTCTTCACTCTGGACCTTCGCTCTACTCTTCACTCTGGACCTTCGCTCTACTCTTCACTCTGGACCTTCGCTCTACTCTTCACTCTACGTTGGTGATCTTCACCGGAACCTCAGCGAATCTCGACTCTTCGAGAAGTCCACTCAAGCTGGCCCTGTGCTCTCAATTCGTGTTTACCGTGATGCAAAGTCGACGATGCGCATCAGGTGGTCGAACCGTGGTTTTTAAGACTAGAACTTTTGACCGCATCAAGTAATATTTGTTTTGTTTAGGAAATGACCGTGCCAGTCACCACAACTGTTCCATCGATGCACTCTGGACCTTCCTCTACTCTTCACTCTGGACCTTCGCTCTACTCTTCACTCTACGTTGGTCTTCACCGGAACCTCAGCGAATCTCGACTCTTCGAGAAGTCCTCTCAAGCTGGCCCTGTGCTCTCAATTCGTGTTTACCGTGATACAAAGTCGACGATGCGCATCAGGTGGTCGAACCGTGGTTTTTAAGACTAGAACTTTTGACCGCATCAAGTAATATTTGTTTTGTTTAGGAAATGACCGTGCCAGTCACCACAACTGTTCCATCGATGAACTCTGGACCTTCGCTCTGCTCTTCACTCTGGACCTTCGCTCTACTCTTCACTCTGGACCTTCGCTCTACTCTTCACTCTGGACCTTCGCTCTACTCTTCACTCTACGTTGGTGATCTTCACCGGAACGTCAGCGGATCTCGACGCTTCGAGAAGTCCTCTCAAGCTGGCCCTGTGCTCTCAATTCGTGTTTACCGTGATGCAAAGTCGACGATGCGCATCAGGTGGTCGAACCTTTTTTTTTAAGACTAGAACTTTTGACCGCATCAAGTAATATTTGTTTTGTTTAGGAAATGACCGTGCCAGTCACCACAACTGTTCCATCGATGAACTCTGGACCTTCGCTCTACTCTTCACTCTGGACCTTCGCTCTACTCTTCACTCTACGTTGGTCTTCACCGGAACCTCAGCGAATCTCGACTCTTCGAGAAGTCCTCTCAAGCTGGCCCTGTGCTCTCAATTCGTGTTTACCGTGATGCAAAGTCGACGATGCGCATCAGGTGGTCGAACCGTGGTTTTTAAGACTAGAACTTTTGACCGCATCAAGTAATATTTGTTTTGTTTAGGAAATGAGCGTGCCAGTCACCACAACTGTTCCATCGATGAACTCTGGACCTTCCCTCTACTCTTCACTCTGGACCTTCGCTCTACTCTTCACTCTGGACCTTCGCTCTACTCTTCACTCTGGACCTTCGCTCTACTCTTCACTCTACGTTGGTGATCTTCACCGGAACGTCAGCGAATCTCGACTCTTCGAGAAGTCCTCTCAAGCTGGCCCTGTGCTCTCAATTCGTGTTTACCGTGATGCAAAGT